TATTTGGAATGTCTTTTCTACACCCTCTCCGTGCCGGATGGCCGAGGGGAGGGCATGGAGCCTGGGGTACAAGGACCAGAGGAGTCCTGGGACCTGCACGACCCCCAGACCAGCCCTCGCCAGCTGCCCCACGGAGTCCCGGTGGGACCTGCTGCCCAACGGGACACAGCTCAAACCAGACACGCAGGGTTCTGCAGCACCAAGGGGAAGCTCAGACACCCCCATGGGCTGCTGGGGCTCCCCTGGGAAGGCAGGCAGAGTCCTGCAGCACTCTGACAGCTGGGAGCCACGCCAGGCACTCAACCGCAGCTCTGTGAATGCCCACACGACCCCGTCGAACACCTGCCCCTCCTCACAGCACGGAGTGCCGTGACATGACACGGAATGGCAGGCTCCACATGGAACCCAGACCGGGATTGCCCTGCTAACGAAAGAAAAAAACAACACAAAACAGAAATCAGTTTGTTCTCGTTTCCCCACTCCGATCCCTCTGACCTGATGCTATGCTCCAGCCTTGTCAGTAATGCAGAATCCTGCAAAGGAAAGAGTCAAAGATGTGCAAAGGAAGCAGGAACTCGGGGACATGCTCCTGCGTGCCAGCAGCAGCTGCAGCACGAGGCAGCAGCACAGACTCCAAGCGGAGCAGCTCCGACGCCGAGGACGGCCGCGGCTGGGCTAGAGGCTTGCATAGTTAGTAGGGACATGCATCGGGGACAACAGGGCCATGCAAGCCGCCTCGCACCGAGAAACAATGGTTGGTCATGCTCAAGTTTCGGCTTCGGAAAGCAAAACCCCCTGCAGCGACGGCGGATGAGGGCACTTGCAGTGGGAGAAGTGTAATTAAGCTGCTTTCTATCCTACCTTGTTTTTATTAAGCCATATTTGATAAGTCTGAAAGGGTTAACAATTTATACACCCAAAGTGAGACACTTACAAGTTACAGAGAACTGCAGGCACCAAATTGTCTATCAAATGTGATTAATACAAATAAAAGGTGCCTCTTTAATACACGTCATTGAAAATGTGCTTATAACTCGAGTACTACTAAACACTATCCAAAAGACACAGCCCAAAAAGGGTAA